TAGGACACCCAAAAACAGTTGGGTATACCTCCTGTCTCAGATCCGAAAGCAATAAGGGATTGTTTCTAGAATCGGGTCCTTTCTCGAGGAAAAGTTTCTCTCGAAAGAATTGAGTGGGAGGATGGTGGAGACTTGATGAGGTTATTGAACCGTCACTTCAACTAGTGTATAGCAGGGCACAGGAAGTTGTTCCTGTGGCACCTACAACAATTGAAGTGGAAGCTTATGATAGTGATCATGAAACTTCAGATCAAGTCACTACCAAACCTCGTGGGATGACAAGGATGCGTACTACTTCAGAGTGGTACGTGATCCTGTCTTGGAAGTCATGTTGCTAGACAACAATGAACCTACGAGCTATGGAGAAGCGATGGTGGGCCTGGATTCCAAAAATGGCTCGAGGCCATATAATCCGAGAGAGGATCCATATATGAAAACAAAGTTTAGACTTTGGAAGAACTACTTGATGGTCGTAAGGCTGTTAGGTACATATGGATTTTAAAAGGAAGACGGACAATGATGGTAAGTATCACCATTAAGAAAGCTCGACTTGTCATTAAGATGTTTTCTGACAAGTTTAAGGAGTTGACTGCGATGAGACTTTCTCACTCGTAGCGATGCTAAGAGTCTGTTGGAATTATATTAGTAATTACTGCATTATTTATGAAATCTTGCAGATAGGATGTCAAAACATTGTTTCCTCGACGATTTTCTTGAGGAAAGGTTGTATGTGATACAACCGGAAGGTTTTGTCAATCCTGAAAGATGCTAATAAGTATGCAAAGCTCCAGCAATCCTTCTAAGGACTGGAGTAAGCATCTCGGAGTTGGAATATACGCTTTGATGATGATCAAAGATTTTGGGTGTATACAAAGTTTATGAGAAACTTGTAATTCCAAAGAAGTGAGTGGGAGCACTATAGAATTTCTGATGAGTATATGTTGTTGACATATTGTTGATCAGAAATGACGTAGAATTTCTGGAAAGCATATAGGGTTATTTGGAAAGTGTTTTTCAATGGAAAGCTTGGATTAAGCTACTTGAACATTGAGCATCAAGATCTATAAGGATAGATCAAAATGCTTAATGGTACTTTCAAATGAGCACATACCTTGACATGATCTTGAAGGTATTCAAGATGGATCAGTCAAAGAAGGAGTTCTTGCCTGAGTTGTAAGGTATGAAGTTAAGACTTAAAGCTTGACCACGGCAGAAGAAAGAGAAAGGACGAAGGTCATCCCCTATGCTTTAGGCTCTACAGTATGCTATGCTGTGTACCGCACCTGAAATGTGCCTTGCCATGAGTCAGTCAAGGGGTACAAGAGTGATCTAAGAATGGATCACAGGACAGCGGTCAAAGTTATCCTTAGTAACTAGTGGACTAAGGAATTTTCTCGGTTATTTAGGTGATAAAGAGTTCGACGTAAAGAGTTACGTCGATGCAAGCTTAACACCTATCCGGATAGCTCTGAGTAGAGATACCGGATACGTATAATGGAGCAACAATTTAGAATAGCTCCAAGTAGAACAGTTATTTGGAATAGCTCCAAATGTAGCGTAGTAGTTGCATCTACAAGATGACATAGAAATTTGCGAAGTACATATGGATCTGAAAGATTCAGACCCGTTGACTATAACATCTCTCACAAGCATAACATGATCAAACCTAGAACTCATCGAGTGTTAATCACATGGTAATGTGAACTAGATTATTGACTCTAGTAAACTCTTTGGGTGTTAGTCACATGGGGATGTGACCTTGAGTGTTAGTCACATAGCGATGTGAACTGGATTATTGACTCTAGTGCAAGTGGGAGACTGTTGGAAATATGCCCTAGAGGCAATAATAAATTGATTATTATTATATTTCCTTGTTCATGATAATCGTTTATTATCCATGCTAGAATTGTATTGATAGGAAACTCAGATACATGTGTGGATACATAGACAACACCATGTCCCTAGTAAGCCTCTAGTTGACTAGCTCGTTAATCAATAGATGGTTACGGTTTCCTGACCATGGACATTGGATGTCATTGATAACGGGATCACATCATTAGGAGAATGATGTGATGGACAAAGACCCAATCCTAAGCCTAGCACAAGATCATGTAGTTCGTATGCTAAAGCTTTTCTAATGTCAAGTATCATTTCCTTAGACCATGAGATTGTGCAACTCCTGGATACCGTAGGAGTGCTTTGGGTGTGCCAAACGTCACAACGTAACTGGATGGCTATAAAGGTACACTACAGGTATCTCCGAAAGTGTCTGTTGGGTTGGCACGAATCGAGACTGGGATTTGTCACTCCGTGTAAACGGAGAGGTATCTCTAGGCCCACTCGGTAGGACATCATCATAATGTGCACAATGTGATCAAGGAGTTGATCACGGGATGATGTGTTACGGAACGAGTAAAGAGACTTGCCGGTAACGAGATTGAACAAGGTATCGGGATACCGACGATCGAATCTCGGGCAAGTATCGTACCGATAGACAAAGGGAATTGTATACGGGATTGATTAAGTCCTTGACATCGTGGTTCATCCGATGAGATCATCGTGGAACATGTGGGAGCCAACATGGGTATCCAGATCCCGCTGTTGGTTATTGACCGGAGAGTCATCTCGGTCATGTCTGCATGTCTCCCGAACCCGTAGGGTCTACACACTTAAGGTTCGGTGACGCTAGGGTTATAGAGATATTAGTATGCGGTAACCCGAAAGTTGTTCGGAGTCCCGGATGAGATCCCGGACGTCACGAGGAGTTCCGGAATGGTCCGGAGGTAAAGAATTATATATAGGAAGTGCTATTTCGGCCATCGGGACAAGTTTCGGGGTCACCAGTATTGTACCGGGACCACTGGAAGGATCCCAGGGGTCCACCGGATGGGGCCACCTGCCCCGGGGGGGCACATGGGCTGTAGGGGGTGCGCCTTGGCCTATATGGGCCAAGGGCACCAGCCCCAAGAGGCCCATGCGCCAAGAATCAAGGGAAAGGAAGAGTCCTAAAGGGGGAAGGCACCTCCGAGGTGCCTTGGGGAGGAGGGACTCCTCCCTGGCCGCACCCTTCCTTGGAGGAAGGGCCAAGGCTGCGCCTTCCCCTCTCCCTTGGCCCTATATATAGTGGGGGAAGGGAGGGCAACCATACCTAAGCCCTAGCGCCTCCCTCTCCCTCCCATGACACATCTTCCTCCTCCCGCAGCGCTTGGCGAAGCCCTGTTGGAATCCCGCTACTTCCACCACCACGCCGTCGTGCTGCTGGATCTCCATCAACCTCTCCTTCCCCCTTGCTGGATCAAGAAGGAGGAGACATCGCTGCTCCGTACGTGTGTTGAACGCGGAGGTGCCGTCCGTTCGGCGCTAGGAATCATCGGTGATTTGGATCACGACGAGTACGACTCCATCAACCCCGTGCTGTTGAACGCTTCCGCGCGCGATCTACAAGGGTATGTAGATCCACTCCTCCCTCGTTGCTAGATGACTCCATAGATAGATCTTGGTGACACGTAGGAAAATTTTGAATTTATGCTACGTTCCCCAACACTTATATCTTTTCTTCTCTCTGACCAATCTTTGGATAACTCCTTGAATAGCACCTTGGTCAACACATAATCTTCTTCTGAAAACCTTAAAACCAACAAATGGTCTTCAAGCAATGCCTATGGAGAAACCCTTCAAATATAAGTCAAGACAACCATTAGTCTATAGGAATTGTCATCAATTACCCACCATGCTCTTTCACCTGGTATGGTGTCTGGTTGGATCCGAGCTTTCAACAAGGCTGGTGCCCCCCCCACCCTGATCGGAAGGAGGGCCTCCAGCTCGACCTCAGCTACTAGATTCATCATGGCGATGGAGGTGCATCAAAGGATTTGCATGGAGCTGGTAGTTATAGATGGGGACCATGATGGTCAAGGATGGTATGGTGGTTATGGAGGAATTGCGATGCCCAGTGTGGACGGTTGGTCTTCTATGACAATCCATTCTGTCTTCTGGCCGAATGTTGGCCAAGTTATTCCTCATGACCATGTTGCCACAAGGGAGGCCCTCTGGATGGAGGCCATGGCCTGGTGCCATGGAGGTCTCATTGGCCCAAATTGTGTCGTCCCTGGCGTTGGCGAGATTGGTTGATTTAGACCGAATTGCATTCCTTTTTCATTGTAAGGGTTTCTCTTTGCAAAAGTTAGGGTTTTATGTGTATTTTTATCTTTACTTTGGGTCCTGGTGTAATATGTTAACCACGTTTAGACATACAGCCGGATGGCAGGCGGCATCCACGAGTTCGCGAACGCCAACATAACAAGAATTAAGCCTAGCATGATAATTAAAGTAACAATGGTTAGTGCATTTTCAGCTTCGTGACGGATGCGGATGGCGCGGACGCGTTCGTCCGCATCCCTAACCACGTTCTTATATATTTGTGTTGCAAATATAAATAATTTTCTCTATTCTTTGTATCCAAGTTAACGAAGTTTAGTTTTTGTAAAATCATGGTTGACTCTCAGGGACTCAAATGTAATTTCTTTCTTTTGGGGGTTTGTTGTATCATTGATAATACTTAATGGATCTCGGGTGCTTTCCACAAAAAAAGTTTCATATGCATTTATATTTTAAACTGCAAGTTGTGCGAATTAATCTGTGATTGGATGGTTAAGAGAACAGTCGTATTCTTAGCCTATCAGGGTTCAAATCTTTGTGCTCATATTTATTCTGAATTTATTTCAAAATTTCTCACAATACGTGTTCGACTCAGTCGCTCGGAGGTGCTCATTGGATAGGCTGTGCGTGTGTTTATAGGGGTGCGTCTATGCGCGTGTATACGAGTGTCTGCTACTGTACTGTGTTAAAAAATAAAAAAATAAACTGCAAGGAGTATAAAAAGTTGTGGCGTTCCAAACAGATAAAATTATTTCCGAACTATACTGTCAGTCAAATGCGAGGTCGCTTCTTGTAGCTGCAAACCAAGCTTGTTGACGGCCGTGTCAGAATTCCCATCCGCCATGGCGCTCTTGTCCCTCCTCTCCCACTCCAGAACACGCTCCTCCGTCCTCCGGGAACCTCTCCGGCAGGGGGGCCTCCGCGCCCTGCTCGCCCCGTGGGCTCCCCCGCCTGTCCATCCGCACGACCGCGCCGCCGGACACGCCTGCACGCCCCCTTCCACCGAGCTCTCCCCTCCTGGTCGCGCCCTCCCTCCTCCTCTCGACTGGACCCGCCTCGGGAGCCGGACAATCTCTTCTGGTGTTGGTAAGGAGCTCTATCTTGGCTGGATTTGGATCGGTTGTTCTGTGAGTTCAAGTGATCTTTCAGTTTTGTGAAAGTTAGTTGCGGATTTGTTTTTTGCGGGATGCCCTACTAATCTAATCAATCTGTTATCCATTCCCATCCCAGCAACAGTAGAATTATTGATACATGAATTCGTCACGTATAGTGTTTAGTATTTAATTTGATTGCTATTACGCCCTGCACCCCCCAACTCTTAGAGTTTCAGTTGTCAGACGGTTATTTCTTGTTATCGAACCAAGATTGATATGGCTCCGCCGATTTCTACAGATCTACAGAATATACCCACTCGGTGGCGAAATGTAGGGGACATTTTTATAGTTTGAACACAAACCCAATGGTATCAAGTTTGTATGGCACAACCTAACCCATGTGTAATTGGTTTAGTTATTGTGCAAAGCATGAATTTGAACAACCAAAATATTCCTGCATTTTGCAACAGAGGGAGTAGTTTTTATTGGAATGAATAAAGTCTTATGGTACATGATGATACCCAGGTACGTCCCTCGCTCAATATGGATTGACAAACCATACTCTGACTTCTCAGAGAAGATCCTATTGGACCTTGTGTCCACAACATTCCTCTTTTGGGCCTCCAGCTGGGATAGCAACAAAAGAAGCACAACATAGTGTGAATGATTCGTTTGGAGTTCAAGGACGCACTTTTGGTTCTGCGGCAGAACCCATCCAGAGGAATCCAGACTATTCAGTGCTAAATTCTGATGACGTTTCTTACTTCAAGAGCATATTGGGTGACAATGGAGTCGTTCAAGATAAAGACAGGGTGGCTGTTGCAAATGTCGATTGGATGGGTAAATACAAGGGTGCGAGTCAGCTACTGCTTTTACCAAAAAGTACTAATGAGGTATTTCCGTCAGCTAGTCAAGTGGAATTTTAATTTAACACCAAGTAGTTGGAATTCCATTTTCGGGCAATTGCATTAACAAGTAGTACTGAAGTGGCAGTAATCATTTTAATTGTTTTAGCCTGATTTGTAGTGGTTGCATGGTGAACTTCCTGTAATATTTCTAATGACCCTACTGCCCCTTAAATTTTCGTAGTTTAGATGTCAACTAAGGTGCAATTATGTTTGTTTGGTTGTAGAACAATGTTTGTAAAGTTGTAGCTTACGATTTATGTTTTTGGCTTATCATGGTCCATCACACACTTGCATCCAGGCTATCAGGCTATTCCAGTTACCAAGCATGTACTTTTTGATGTATTCTTACATGAAGTAACTAGTAATCGTACAAATTGTTCATAAAGTAATTAGCATCGTATGCATTGGATGTCTCATGAAAGCCATATTTAGTAGCAATAGAAAATCAGCCTCGGCAGAATGTAGCGCTTCATAAGCAAAACACTGTAGCCTCTGGATACATAACAAACAAAATAGCATACATCACTCTAGTGACCTACGCTAATAACTATTTTCCGAACAACAATGCATTTGCATGGAATGCTAATAATACCTCATGCAGCAAACTAGGATTATAATTTAGGACTACATTTCTATTTTCATATTGCTCGGTTATATCTAGTTTTCTACCATTCCTGATCCGACCCAACATAAAATTAATGTGAAATTTTGTTATTCAACCATTCTGTTTTACAGGTTTCTAAGGTCCTTGCTTACTGCGACTCAAGACGATTGGCGGTAGTTCCTCAGGGTGGAAATACAGGCCTCGTTGGTGGCAGTGTTCCAGTTCATGATGAGGTAATTATGAAGTTCCTTTTAATGATAATATCAGTTATATCTTTATTTTGCTACCACAAAATATTTGTTTATTTCTTATCTTAGTATCAGCGGTAGAGTACTTTAGATAAATATCCTTCTTGGTATTCTCTACTTCCTTTCTGTTGCGGCGTGCCTGAATTGCAGGGTATACTTCTTCACCAGAATGAACTACTTGTATTTATTTAGATTGATCAATCAGATTGATTAGAAAATCACCGGAAAGATTACGATGGCATTGATTGGTGCTTTGAATTTCCATATTCACGTTTAGCATTATCACTACAGTTTTGCTGTAGTTCACGTACCTGTTCAAATACTTGTTGATGTGTTTTTTCTGTTCATCTGTCTTAGACTTCCATTTTTTTTAAGTATACTGCTTCTGAGATTTCCATGTTACTGCTTTCCTTACATTTGGGCCCGAGATCACAAGGTTTACTCCCTTTGTCTGCAGGTGATTGTCAACCTTGGTGGTATGGACAAAATAATCTCATTTGACAATGTGGGTACAGTCTCTTTGTTTGGATTTGATGTCGTCAATTCTATATTTCTATTATCCATCCTTTCTTCAAACATAAGTTGTCTATATCCATAGTTCATGGAAAATCTTTGTATAATTTCATGAAAGAGCTGTCTGCTGTCAGGTAAATGGTATTCTTACTTGTGAAGCTGGTTGTGTGTTGGAGAACTTAAGTACCTTTGTGGAAAATGAAGGGTAAAGTCATCTTCGGTATTCCCTCTATGATTCTGTTATCATTCGTGGTGCATACGTCTTGAATTGCATGCGTTTGATTAATAAATAATATGTTTTCTTTTGAGTTGTTGGGTTACCATTGACCCATAAATATTCATAAGTTTGTTGCTTATGCAATATCCTTTTTTACGGGATCCCTACTATTATAATCACCCATGGATTCAATGTGTGCCAGTACAGTGATCGCTCATATAATCTTGTCATCACAGTTTACTTTTATATACGATCAGATATGTGCCTGTTATTTTGAATAGAAAAATACCTAAGATTATATGTATTCTTTATATTCAGGTTTATTATGCCTCTTGACTTAGGGGCAAAAGGTAGTTGCCAAATAGGAGGGAACATTTCAACTAATGCTGGCGGCCTCCGTTTCATTCGCTATGGTTCACTTCATGGAAATGTACTTGGTAAGTACAAGTTAAACCTTATGTTTACTATGTGCACAGATCAATTATTTCTGAAGTCTCATGTTCTATATCTTGTTTAGCTGAACGAAGAAAGGGCTTATGTGGAATACAGTATTTGTTTTATTAAATTTCTCTTGAAAGGAGCAGGAATATGTTTGCTGTTTGAGTAATTCTGTTGCAATATAAGTTGCTGAAATTACGATGCTCCATCAAGAGAATCTTCTAGAAAATTTCAACTTATGCAATGTTTAAGCCTGGAAATAGCTGGATGATTTCTTGAAAGTACAAAGATGGTTAGCTCCTCTGTATTTTATTTTCTTCTTATTCAGGTCTTGAAGTTGTCCTAGCCAATGGAACTGTTCTTGACATGCTTACTACTTTAAGGAAAGACAACACTGGATACGATCTGAAGCACTTATTTGTTGGTGAGTATCGAATACAAACTATTTCCCTTCTTTCTGAGCATGTTCATTAAATATGACTTATATCAAGCCGTTAGTAAACACATGATTGATGGTTCAGGAAGTGAAGGCTCCCTAGGAATAGTCACTAAAGTGTCAATACTTACACCTGCAAAGCTACCTTCAACTAATGTTGCATTTCTTTCCTGCAATGACTACATGAGCTGCCAGGTCTCTTGCAAACACTCATTTTGTATATCTAGGCATTGTTAGATCAAATGTACAGTATGATCTTTACTATAGTGATTACTGCTTTTCATGTTCCCAGAAATTGCTACTGGCAGCTAGGAGGAGCTTGGGTGAGATTCTTTCTGCATTTGAGTTTATGGATCGTCAGTGTATTGATCTGGTACTTACTTAAACAAAGTTTCAAAGAAAACTGCACTTCATAGAGAAGAAACTGCATGCATGTACTTTCTTGAACAGTAGGATGTGTTGAATTTTTTGTTATGTACTCCCTCCGTCCCATAATATAAGATCGTTTTACAGCTTGTAAAACGATCTTATATTATGGGACAGGGGAGTACTTAGCAAAAGAAAACAAAATATTGTTTTGACTGCGTTGTACATGAAGAAATGTTCCTCATTATCTTGCCTGATTCCACATTTAATTTGGTAGCTTGTTGGTTTTGAAGGCTATGACGCATTTGGAAGGAGTTCATAATCCTTTACCTGTCTCGCCGTACAAATTTTATGTTCTAATTGAGACCACAGGAAGTGATGAATCATATGACAAGTAAGTTTTGGTAGCATAACAACAGTTTTCAAACATTAAAAACACACAAGCTATGCGGAAGATCAATTTGTTCAAACTCTTAATTGATAACCACTTTGTGAAGGTGAAATCCTGCTTGGCTTACATTTATTTTATCTTGGGTTTATTGTGATGAAAATTGTCAAATTACATATGCTGCCTACTTGTCTTATGTTACCTTTCTTTTGTAGAGCAAAACTTGAAGCTTTTTTGTTGCGTTCAATGGAAGATGGCCTTGTAGCTGATGGAGTTATAGCACAGGATATTAGCCAAGCATCTAATTTTTGGAGAATCCGCGAGGTTCTCCACCATACATGAATCTTTAGATTTTGCCAGTGACTAATATGGGTAGCTTTTAAGTTGATAACGATCGACACTCATCAGACGGCTAGTGTTCTATTGAAGCAACACAAGGTTGTGGAGGAGCAACTTCAACTTATAGCTAGAACACTTTAGAAAACATTACTTAAGATTCAACATTCTACTCATGGCTAGAAGACTCTAGAAAACAGTAGCTAAGGTTAAGAAGACAAAATAAATACTAGACTGCAGTAGTATCTAGAAGTAGTCAAACAGTTTTTTGACTTCTGATTCTTTTTCCTTTTACTTGTCTCTATTGTTTCTCATCATCTATGTTGCTGTTTAGTAATATAGGTTATCGATGTGTAAGCTGATATTTGATGGTTAACGCCGAGTCTCTGATATCATATAAATTAAAATGATAACCTAGGAAGTGCTCGAAAAATATCTTGGTATGTTAAGTTTGGCCTATCAAACTATTTGGTTTCAAACCTTTGGAAGTGAAATTTCAAGTATGAAACACCAAACCAAATAAAGTCAACCTTTATCCATTGACATAATTTGTGGCAAAAAAAATCAATTAAATGATCATGTGTTGCGGTTGCAGGGTATATCAGAGGCATCTGTAAAAGTTGGTGCAGTCTACAAGTATGACTTGTCCATACCTGTAGAGAAACTATATGATATTGTTGAAGAAATGCGCAGCCGTGTTGGTAAATTTTCAATTTTGAGCCATCAGTGATCTAATCTATGAGTTGCTAACATAGTTCCTTGCTTTCCTAGGTGATACGGCAGAGGTATTGGGTTATGGTCACCTTGGTGACGGGAATCTCCATCTAAACATCTTATCAAGCAAGTACAGTGACAATGTATGTCTGATATGACATGGAAATAGATCATTTACTTAGGTCTGGCTTCAGTTTCTCAAGATAGGTATGCGGCTACTTGCTTATTTTGTTACCTTCAACGAAAATTTCAGATTCTGGCACAAATTGAACCATTTGTCTATGAGTGGACCGCTGGCCACAGAGGAAGCATTAGTGCAGAGCACGGGCTGGGGCTAATGAAAGCTGAGAAGATTCACTACAGCAAGTCACCAGAAGCAGTAAGTATTTAAATACCATCTTACCACCGCTTGTGTTTGCGCACAAATTGTTACTTCAGTGCTATATAGAAGTTCAGAGTTAAATCATTATTTCAATTTGTGAATAAGGCTATGACTAGGGTGCACTTCAATGTTAGGTGTAACAATGTCCTATTCTTGACTATTTGTGCATGACATATGTATGTGTTGTGCCGCATTTTCATGAGAGAAATTTGGTTTAGCCTTTATGATCTGGAGGCATTCTCTTGTTAGATTTTCAGTTATGCTCACTTCCTTACAACCCTGGAGGAGGAGCGCTTGCTTTTTGTGCAACGTTGGCAATATGTTTCAGTGGAGCTCTGCCTTATTCTTCTTCTTATAATCTTAAAGAACAATACTTTATTTGTTTCTTGAAAAGAAAAATTTCCAGTTGTATTCCAACCTTTCTACTAGTTGGCTGGTAATTTATGCTTGACAGAAAATGTTGTATTGTGATCAGGTGCAGCTGATGGCTTCCATCAAGAAGTTAATGGACCCTAACTCGATTCTAAACCCATACAAGGTTCTACCTCGGTCTGCATTGTCACCGGAGCAGGTAGCCTTCTTTTATTTACCCTTCAGTTGAGTGGATCTGAATTACATTTTCCCAATGTTTTGCCCTGATACATGTATCGGTTGCTGACACCAACAGGGTAACTGATTGAGCTTGTCGCCTGCCAAATCAACTTCAGAGAACAAGTGTTAACTTGGATAGAAGAGATCTGTCTGTACCCAATAAAAGTAGTCAATAAAATTCCTGTTGTTGTCAGCGTCTGGAGTGTTGTAAACAATTATTCAGATGGACATCAAACTAGGAAAAAACATCAATTAAGGCCATGTACAACCCAGGCGCTTGCACAGGCACCTCAGAGAAAAAAAAACCCTTTTTTGTGAGATTAGTTTACACAGGTGCTTCGGAAGGGCTACTCTCTCTCTCTCTCTCTCTCTCTCTCTCTCTCTCTCTCTCTCTCTCTCTGTGTGTGTGTGTGTGTGTGTGAACTTTGCACGGGAAAAATATATCTGATTCTCTAACAAAAACATGATTGAAAAAGAAAACACAAGAATAGCAGAAGAATGGTGCTCTGTTTTTCACAATCATAGTGATCTTATGTGGCAGTTCAAGTTCAGGGTAGCACCAGTAATTTGTAGTGTAGGACCCTTATTATTCAGGAAATGAGTTGCAGTGGTCTTCAACAATCGCTCTTCGCACCCATGATCTGGATGGATAGCAGCAAGTAAGCAAATACTTAGATTGCCGACGTCACCAAAACATTCTGCATATTACCTGCAAATGAATAAATATACAGTGCTTGGGACCATATGAGAAGCGCCACCATCCATTAGCAAAAATCTCAAGCTCCCTCCAGTAAACAAAATATATGTAATCCCTATCATCTTGGCACTAACAAATTCCAGAATGTACTACTAATACATGCTTATTTAGATTTGTAGATGTAAATCTACTGCATATAACATTCACTGTTAGATCTTTACCAGACGTCATATAAAGTAAGTGTTGAAAATATTTGTGCTCACTGAGCACGGTTTTTCTAAGGACGAGCTACAGGGTGTTTTTTTTTCCTGACATTTTTGCAAAGATGGAGCAGATCCGAGCTATCAGCACGTAAAACACTGGCTGTGGACCTGCAAGTCAAGCTGGAGCCGGAGTTGCGTCCAGGAGCTTGGCACGGTGATAGTAGGAACCTCCGGGTGTCTCGCTCAATTTCACATATTTTTGAGGCGGCAATATCTACCTCATTCGATTCAATTTCACATATTTTTGAGGCGGCAATATCTACCTCATTGGCAGCGTTGAGTTTGAGCTCGCTAAACTAATGGATAGGGCTACCGTAGCGAGTAAGTGTTTCCGTGTTTGGTAATGGAGATGAAGGGAATGCTGCTTTCTTGGGGGCACTTTTGCTTTCCCTAATGGTGCCTACTATGGGCATGCTTGGGTTTCCTTTTTTTCATCAGGATATTTTGGAGCCTTCGAGAACCCGAAAAAGAAATGACTTGTAGATCCTATAGTGGGCAGATTTAACCTATCTGCCGGGTGCCTGAGTGTCGATACAAACAGCTTGTAAATATCTCTCAAAACAAACATTACTGAAAAAAGCTCTCAATATAAACAACTCTGTATAATATGGATATTTGATAGATATATGTTCTAAAGCATATATACATAGGTTCAAACTCCGGACTGGACAAAACTGACTCCAATATCTATGGCGCTAGACGATTTAGCAAAATCTAACATGACTTAAAACTAGGACAGAACTTAAACTCCACTATATATGACGGTAGATGGTTGCTTCAGCATCACTCCCAATGTTCAAGAATCGCTCCCAAACTTGGACATAAACCTCTTCTTTTCCCTTATCTGAAAGGGAAGGGTAAAAATTATCAAAACAAAAATAAACAATTAATCAAAATATCCCAGTTACTTATCATCTTCATGTAATTATTTTGCACGACAACTTCATACAATAGTTGACAAATCTAAATATAGTAACCAAGAACGACTCTAAGCATACAATAGGACATATTGCTCAAGAGAAGGCAAGAAAGATATATGGTGATACCAAGAACGTGGACAATTGATGCTTGATAGCCACTTCAATAACACGGGGAAATAAGGTTCTCTCACCTGATTGTTATGTCCACACTTCTTCTTGCGGCAGTTGGTGGCCCTGAGGGGTAGGCGTGCATAGCACCTTCAACGCAATGACGAAAAACTTAGATATGTCACAAATTATGAGTACAAAAAGCAAAGTATATACAATCCTGACTAGAGTGCTAGATTGGCAAAGAAAAATTTCTTTCGAGAAGAGTACTCATAGATATGTCAAGATCATAAAGCAACCATGCACATGTTAGTCTTAGTCGCTATATTCATGTGATCTTACATGTAGATCCATGCAAAATTTTCTTTTAAATATTTTATTTCTTTTTATATGTTTTGTAACTTGACTCTAGCCACACCCTAATTAATGATCTACATGCCAACCATCTAGTCAATTCCATTGTTCATAGAAAGAAATCAGCATCAAACCCAGGCAAACCGAAACCGCTCGTGAGTTCGAATTACAATCTATTAACATTGAAGGTGAGAGGCGCCTCAATCAACCTCTGTCTGACTATCTATTCAAATCTACACCTTAATCAACAAGGACACATTTATCTACACATGCATGCGTATCTCCGAGCAGACCAAAAAAAGTAAAAGGTCACAATCCATGATCTGCATACCTGCGGCAGACTAGTTTGTTCTCATTGTACTTTTGAGCAAGGATGCGGAGGTTGGGCTCGAGGTTCTTGGGGTATTGACCTCGGCTGCCGCCACGGAGGCGCAGCACGAGGTGAAGCGTCGACTCCTTTTGGATGTTGTAATCGGCCAAAGTGCGGCCATCCTCGAGCTGCTTCCCGGCGAAGATGAGGCGCTGCTGGTCCGGCGGGATACCTATAGCAGCAAAACACAAACTGACACAGTTAGTTCGTCCCTTATGAATTGGTCTATGTACATTATCTATCGATTTTTGAAACAAGAAGCATATCCCACGGCAGGTTAACACACAGGAACCAACAAGCAGCCGGTCCAAAGCTATCTAACCTAGGATAAGCAGAAAAGTTTTTATCTAGCTTAGGGAGACAACATGGAGGATGCTAGCTATGAAGAACAATAACAAGAACAAGAAGAGCAACAACATGCAAAGCTAGGTTTGAAGCAAACGGATGCAACGCCGGCGAAGACGTACGATCGGCCGGCAGGGTAGTAGAGGGGAAGAGGCGGGTGTAGTGATTCGTCGTTCACATATATATGTACCTTCCTTGTCCTGGATCTTGGCCTTGACGTTGTCGATGGTGTCCGAGGACTCCACCTCCAGCGTGATGGTCTTCCCGGTCAGCGTCTTCACGAAGATCTGCATCTTGCCGTACGCTCGATGGCTCTCGATCGTTCTCCTCTCGCCGGGTTGTGCTTGGTGGTGTTGGTATCGACCGCTGCGTGATGGGCGTTCTTATATACGCAAGGGAGCCAAGGGAGGTGACGGGGTCGCTACGACAAGCCCCGGAACCCTAGCAAGGGAGGCGTGGCCGCCAAGAAGCTCGCGACTCGGTCGGGACTCGGCACCGGTTCTGGGCTTCTGGACGGCCGAATGCTGCCCTCTTATATAAACGTTGCACCCTTGTTGAACCGGCCCATTTAATTAGTGATATTAGGGCAACACAAACTCAAAATACAAATTTCACGATAGCAAACGATATCTAATTTTTTTAAAAAGAAATTACAAAATAGAGAAAAAAAATACTACGACATGACTATACACTCCGTCATGGGAAAGAAGACGGTGGGGCTGGCAAATGCGCTGTTGCATGGGAAACATTGTGCCGACCAAAGTGGGCAGGTGGGCTCAGTGTCACAGACCTGCGGTGGATGAATGTGGCCCTTCAAGCGAAGTGGCTGTGGTTGTAACGAGCAGATCGATCTAGACCATGGACGGAATTCAAGTTCTCCGTCCCCGATGAGGAAAGAGGCTTGTACCAAGCGACAGCTAAGGTGACCGTGGGCGACGGACGCACAACACTGTTTTGGGAGGATAGGTGGCTCAACGGATACATGATACATGAGCTAGCCCCTCTCATCTTTGAGATGGTGCCAAAGCGGATGAGGTGCGCTAGAACGGTGGCGGAAGCTTTACAAGACGCATCATGGGCTCGTGATGTCGGCCCGGTCATGAACGACAGAGCGCTATTCCAGTTTACTCGAGGTTTGGCTACATGTGGATAGCACGACTCTGGATCCACAACGACGGATCAACTTGCATGGTCATGGGAGAAGGATGGCGATTTCTCGGCAAGGTCAGCCTATGCGGCCATATTCGCGGTCCTACAAAGTTCATCGACAACAACCTACACATGGGCATCGAAGGCACCCCTCCGCTATCGATTCTTCGCATGGTTGGCCTTGAGGGATAGAGTGTGGACCTCGGACAGACTGGAACGGCGCGGCCTCCCGTACCAGGACACCTACCCGTTCTGTGATCAAGATGATAAAAGAATTAACCACCTCCTGATACAGTGCGTTTTCACGAAGGAAGTTTGGACCAAGGTGAGTCAGGCGGTGGGCATGATGGGTGCGACACCATCGAGGGTGACGAGCTATAAACTTGGTGCACAAGACCAATATTCAATGGAAAGCATGCCAAGACCCTACGGGCTGTACACCTGCTAGTCATATGGGAGCCATGGAAGCACCGAAACACAATTGTGTTAGAAGGCATGAGTCCAGACATGCAGCATGTCTTACGACGAATAGCCTCCTAATGTGTGGCATGGAGGCAAGCGGGCATTCTACATGGAGACATTCAGATAGAATTCGTAGGAATAGATGGGTGGACCGAGGGCGAGTAATCTGTTAAGATGATGTGGGATGGAATGCGTTGTATAAGCATGTTGTAAATAACTGCGGTCGGGGCTTCTTCCCCTCTTCCTCTCTTAATATATGATACGCAAACTCGTGCGTATTCGAGAAAAAAGGCTAGAAAGTAAGATATGAAAACATCATCCTTCACATGAAAAAAAAACTTCCTCCCTATAAATATAACCAAGCAATCATTCAAGGGCTAAACCTCCCATCTCTATGCATATCAGTAATGAAGTGTATAGGTTGATAAGGATATGCATCAAATCTTCCTCCGTGAAATCCATAGGATAAAGATGTGCAAGCTTAACCAAGTGTCATGTACAACTTACAATTCAAAGAATGCTCTACAACCTACAATTCAAACAATTCACTTGTTATGTTTCCGCTAATGAAATCAAGCATATCCTCACTCCTCAGTGTCATCTAGAGCTATTTCTATTTGAAAACGAATAGCGGCTACACATTCAGTTGGGAGTTTCACAATGAATCGAATGAACAAATCAACTATTGCAATTTCAAAATTGAATGGGGATTCACCTTAGGATAAGAGATTGAGGTTATTGGAGAAAATTGCTGCACTAGTACACCCCCCTCCCCGATGTCGACAATTGCGGTGGCCACAGTTGCGAAATTCACCATGAGGGGCTCCGGCGTCGGTGTCTCCCTCACCTGGCCATGGCTCGCCATTGGCAGAGGGTCACACTGCCGCCTCGTCCGTAGGAAGAAGAAACAACTTGGCGACTGCGTGAGCCTCTCTCGTCTCATGTGTGTGTGGCTGGCTGGTTTGCTGGCTTGCTGCCAGGATCGTGAGCTGCTCCCGAACTGAGCCTATTGGGCCTATTGGCTGGTGTTTCTGTCATATACTCCTTTCGGTCCTTTTTACTCTGCATATAAGAATTGTCTGAAGTCAAACTTCATGAAGTTTGACCATATTTATATGAGAAAATATCAACATCTACCATGTTAAAGTTATACAATATGAAAATTTAAGTCATGATGGATCTACCGATATTGATTTCACATTGTGAATGTTGGTATTTTTTTTCTATAAAGTCGGCCAAACTTTATGAGGCTTGACTTCAGACAAATCTTATATGCGAACTAAAAAGGACCGGAGGGAGTAATATGTATATAACTATATGCAATTCTTTTTGCAAAAACAGTTGGGGGGAGGGTCATCACCGCTGGAGAAGGGTCATTTAGAGGGATGGCCAGGGCAGAGGCGGCAAAGAAGCAAAGCCAGCAGTGGATGATGGGGGACGATGATGGCTGGTGTCGAAGGGCGGGTTTTCGGCGACAGGAGGAAGACGAAGGCAACAGAGAAAGAGTGAGAAGACAAAGGTGCAGTAGAGGAATCAAATGGAACTTGAACTTTCTCCATACTAACAGGCACTCTTTTTTTTATACAACTAAAAAAATCACCGCAAATAGTGTCACCGTGATTAGTGCTTCTGCCCGTCTGTCATGCATTTTTACAGAAGACCTCCTTATCTTTTGAAGAATCAACCCTTAGTCCATCTTTAAGTGAAAAACTATTTTTATAGTAAACCCCCTACATTTTGTGATAATTAACTTGCAGTTCACTTTTAAGTGACAGAACAAATCACTTTTTTGTTTTTGCATAAAACCACCATACAATTTCTGGTAATTAACTCGCGGTTCAAGTGACAAAACATGTTTTTTTTAAATATCCATATCTTTTACAGCCTAACTCCAATGTTAACATGTTATATATGAAGCAAAATGTATAGAATCCGAATATGATGTTATTTTACCTATTAACCATTTTGTAAATACTATTTAGAGTGAAACCTTAATCAATAGTGCATGATCCATGTTTCTTTCGTACCAGTGCCGATCTGGATTGCAAATGACCACCTCGACAACAAAATTGAAGATGAAAAGAACCATCGATAACCACACATGCACGCCTTTGCAAAA